ATCCATACACAAACCATCCATTTCTTCACTTTTCCTTACCTCCAGTCACCTTTCCCTGTGCATATCTGGCTGTAAGGTTATATGAGCGTCCTCAGCTTCCTCCCCTTCAAGGAGACACATTGTTCATCTGGATGTAGACAGACCTCCAAGGCCCAGGGACAAAAAAAAGGCTGTTGCTAATTAATATGCAACTCAATTCCCATTCCTGTGGCCTAGTGATTCATCAGGTAGTGCCTGGCTGGCTGTGAAGTCTTAGGCTGTGATTTAGCTAAAAGCACTGACAGATCTGAGATTTATTCCTAGTTACAGCCAAGGAAAAATCAAGCAGGATCCTTAAGTTCTCAAAGCCTTGACTATATGTCTATAATATGGGGATAACAATGTCACCTGGCACTGAAAGTTCCTGTCTCAAAATAAAAGATAAAAAAGGGCTGGGGATGTAGCTCAGTGCAAAGGCCCTGAGTTCAATCCCTAGTACCACAGAAAGAGAGAGAGAGAGAGAAGAAAACACCATCTTTTGAACTCAAAGATATCACATAATTCAGAACTTAAAAATTCAATAAAAGCTTTGAATTTGTCATATTTTTAACTCAAATTTTTTCCACAATTTTTCTTTATTCTCATCTTCCTAAGCTTCATTCACTAAGCTGAATTAATTCCTCACTACTCTTTCAACGCATTGTGTCTCTTAGTTACCAGTAGCACTGATTTTGAATTTAATGATACCATTGAAAGCCTGCCCTCATGGAGCCTGCAGTCTAGTGGAAGAAGACAAAAAGCAAATAAGTTAATTCATACTCTGTGAGATAACAGAGTGACTTACAGAAAAATAATGCAGGGGAAGGGAAGATACAGAAACTTTGATGAGGAGGTGATGGTTGGATGGGGATTGGGAGGAAGTGTTGGAGGAGGGCAGTAGATATCTAATTGGAGTGGATATCACAGGGAGAACAGCAAGCCCAGAGGCCCTGCAGTAGTCACATTGCCTTGTTCAAGGACCTGCACCAGGCTAGTGTGGTGAGAGCAGAATAAGGGAGGGTAGAAGGCACTGAGACCAGACAGCAGCTGGGAACAAAGTCACATGTAGGAACTTGAGGAGGCCATGACAAAGCCTTTGGCCTCTATCCTGAGATGGAAGCCATGGAAGAATTTTGGGAAAAGTGACAAGATCCAATTTAGATTTCAGAAGATTACTCTGGCTTTTATGCTGATAGCAGGTAGAAGGGGCAAAGATGGGATAGGGAAGTAGACAGTGGTCCAGGTAACAGACAGTGGTGCCTCAGATGAGGGTGAAAGTGGTGGAAATTGTGGTAAGTGGTGGAACATGGGAATATTAGAAGCTTCATCACTTAGATATGCTGATGGACTGCATGTGGAATTTAAATGTGAGATGTGTAGCTCAGAGGTAGAGCATTTGTCTAGCATGAACAAGCCCTGGGTTGAATCCCTAGCACTGCAAAAAAAAAAATCACATGAGACATAGAATATTCCTAAATTTCTGTCCACTTACTAAAACGAGGCTGATGGAGTCACACTGAATTTGATTATGTAGGACATGCAAATCAAAATTCAAGAAAAGTTTAAGCATATACATAAATACACATAAATTTAAGCATATATATTTAAAATAAATTCTAGCAGTGTTTTCCTTCAAATCAACTTTATTCTGATTCTCCTCAGTAGCAATATTTAGGCTTCCATGAAATACAGAGAGTTTCTGCTCAAAAAAATTAGACCATAGAAAGACAGGAGTCAGAATGTTGTGCTTTAGATTGCTTCAGCTTTCTCCCTGGCAGAAATCCCTGAGGTCAGAAATCAGGATCTGATTGTCCAATTTAAATGTGTTAGGCAAGCAGTGACCTTGAAAGACAGGGAGAGATTGTACTATGAGGGGAGAAGACCACATTTCTATGTTAAGAAACCATGCTTCCATATTGTCAAACTCCTCTTGTCAGTGACTACAAACTTCTGGAGAAATTGTTCTTTCACCATTAGATCTGTCTTCATCCTAGTGAAGACTGCTCTGCACAAGTTACAGGCATTTGCAAGAGAATATGTGCTTTGTGTCTGTATGTGTTCTTTGTGTTTTTAAGTTTTATTGGCATATAGTTGATTTACAAAAAAAATTACACATACACTCTTGATACCATCATCACAAACAGGGACTAAACACACCCATTCTTGTAAACCTGCTTGTGATTCATTCCTCAGGTAGTATGAGCTCCAAATATCGACTCGGGATTTGTATCCTGAGTAGTCTGGACAGAGCCGGCCATTTCAAAAGAAAGAGTAATAAAGTCTCAGAGCTGTTAGCACTGAATAGCTCCAGAGACCAGCAGCCAAAGACCAGCAGCAGAGACCTGGTAGAGTCAACCTACTGTGTCCAGTGCAAGCCAGCATCAGCCAACATGACAGCCGGCAGTGGCAATAACCAGCAGATGTGAACTACCAGCTCCCAGCATTACCCAGTGACATCAGGACTGCTGGCAGAACTGCACTTTGCTGATTCATAATGTCCATCTGGATCAAGCCAAAGAGCCCTAGGCTGATTGGCAACACTTTGAGTCTAACCATTTTAGTTACCTTGCATGGGTAGATACCCTGCACTCTCCTGTTACTGTACTTACAAGGGTCAGTCTAGGTCAGTAGTTCTGAATTATCACTCTCAGAATCATTTAAGACACCCAGCCCCTCCCCCCAAAATATGGATGCTTGGAACCTTTGTTTTTTGGGGGGGGTTTTGGTACCGGGGATTGAACTTGGGTCCTTGCGCTTGCACAGCAGGTGGCGAAACCACTGAGCTAAATCCCTGGCCCTGGAACCTTTGAATTATAAATTTTACAACCTCCCAGAATGAGAACCAGATGTATGCATTTTAGAAACTCTGTTGTCAACTGTGTTGTGCAACTCTGATTAAGAACCACTGAATGCAAAACAATGAGCTCTGACATCTAACTCAGGCACAATTCCATCTGGCTGGAGTCCCAATGAGGAGGTCAAAAGGCTGAGCAGCCCAGGCTTGGCATAATTGGGGATGTCCCCAAGCAAGGCCTGATTAGCTATGAGGTGAAGCCCATTGTTCAAAAGCACAAAGCAGTGGACTCCAGGGCCACGTGGACTGCACACACTCATTCCACCCCCGACAGAAGCTGGTGCCTGCCACTAGCAACTTCAGCTTGAAAAGTTGACAGGGTAACTTGTGAAGGCACTGATGAAACAGGGGAGGAATCAGTGAGACCAGCAGTGTGCAGAGAGCAAATGGCTGCTTAGAAAGGTTTGTTGCTGTGAAATAATCTCTAGGTAAAATAGTTGGTGTCCCTCCCATGGGGTTCTAGACTGAACCTGGATTCCTTGTACCACGTGCTGCTGTGCCAAGCAGAGCCTCCAACCAGGATGGGTGTCTCACTCCACCCCAGCCTCACTTTCCACTCTTCAACAGGCACAGCTCAGAATATTTTTACTAGAATTACAAGTATTTAACGAACAGTACCAGAAGACTTGGTTAACGACTTGGAGAGGGAAAACAGAGGAGTTGACTAGGTCATAGCACTACTCCATAAAAGTCAGATTTTTTTAAAAGGACATAAATATTGGTGAATATCTATTTGTGGATTAAAAAAAAGACCAAGCTTAAAAAACAAAACTACAAAGGAATTATTGAGATTCCACAATGAATGTTTTGAGTTCAAGGACATCGGAAACCATTGTAACCAAAAAGAAAACAACATGCTAAGAAAATATTTGCAACAAATTTGATCCTCAAAATTATCTTGAAATATAAAAACCATCCACCTGGTTACTCATTCTTTAAAATTCTGTCAGTGATTGTAGACTTGACCCCAGACCACCCAGATGAATCAGAGCTTGACCTAAAGGATGCCCTGCAGATTCCTACAACTCAGCTAGGAAATATGTATCCATCATCTTTTAGAGAAGTTTTTTAATTTTCTTGGAGCTAACCTGAAAGACTGGGTCAGATTTGGGAGCAAAGAGTTTATCTATCAAGCCAGTGGCCCATCTCCTGCACACAACCTCTATGAGAGGTCAAGACTGGCTCAGAACTCGGAGCACAAGTTGGAAAATGTTCTGCCCATCATGTAGTTTCCAAATCATAACCCTGGGGGTCATCTCTGCTTGGGAGTGCAGATGGCTAAAGTCTGTTCTCTTCACAGCTAGGGACAGAAAAGTATAAGTGATAGAGAAAGACTAATTTGAGACTGAGACTGTTTGGGGGGTATAGCGGTGAGGGCATAGATTGGATATATATTTCTCATCCAGGCCTCAACTTTTGCCACATCAGCAAGGGCGAGACAACTTTTGGCAACCAATAAGGGCACAGAAGTTCAATCAAAATTTATTGCCTGCTTAGAAAGAGCTTAAAGGGAGTAGAAAGGGCAGAAAGTGAAAGTAAACCTAAAATAAATGATACCTTCCTGTAATGCTGCCTGTGGCCTGTTATGTGATGCAATGCTGGTGTAAGACTTGTTGTGGTCTGAAAGGACTAGGGGTGAATGGTGGAACAAAGAGATTAAAAAGTGATGTCTATCTGTATCACAGACACCACAGTGGTAGACATACAGCATTATGCATTTGTCAAACTCAGAGGACTATGCAACACAAAGCATGAACCTTACTGTAAGCCAACATGTAGTATGTTCCCAACAATATACTAGCACTGTCCATCAGCTGTAACCCATGAAACCACATTAAGGCAAGATGTTAATGATGGGGGAAACTTGCAGGGCCAGAGGGGATTACAGGAAATTTCTGTGCCTCCTGTTCTTCTTTCTCCATCAGCCTAAAACCACACTAAAAAATGCAATCTATTAATTTAAAATAAAATGATACATCTTATTTTTTCCCAAACATAAGCACTAGACAATCTCTACTTGAATGTCTTGTTTGAAGGAAGATAATAAAAAAATAGGTCAGGAAGTGCAGTGACCACAAATGTCACTTAAATACTCTTTGTCCCCCAATTCCCAAAAAAGGATCAGAGGTGTATTTCAACCAGGTATTTTATTGATCTGGCAATTGCAAAATATACAAATTTCTCAAAGGCATTCCCTGTTTGAAAGCCAGAGCAGCTTCAACCCAGGTCATTAATTCAGACAAATATACAGAACACAGAGAAGTCATAAGTCACACATAAAAGGCCCCAAACCAACTAACAGTTAAACTCAATCTATACAGCTTTCTATTTTTAAGCTCCCTTATACATATTAAATAAATAAATAGCACATCTGCTATCAAAATAATAAAAAAATAAATTTCAAGTATTACAAACCAAAATATCATTGGTGTGGTTCAGTTTTTCTTCGCCCCCCAAAATAAAGAGCTTTGTCCGTGGTGGGAGGAGAGAGGGAAATTCATTCAAAAACAAATTTGCAAAGTTAAAAAAAAAAAAAATTGGTCCCAGTTTTGTTTCATTTTATTTTGAAGGGAGTGAGGGGAGGAAACCAGCAGAAGCAAAAGTTCCATGACTATAGCTCAGCCCCACCCCACCCCCATCCCTTCTCAAAGGCAGGTCTCAAATGAATCAAGACTCTACCTCTCCCAGCCCTCCCTTTACCCTTATTTGTGAGCTCTCTCCCAATATAACCTTGCCAAACTGAAGTCTCATGCTAGGCAAAGCCTTCTTTATGTCTGTATTGACTCCATGTCAGTAGAGGTAAGAAGGGACCACACTCTCCTCCAGCCCTTTTCTGCATCAGACTTGAGAGTCTATATTAATACAGAGAGGATGAGGCTAGAAAGTGACGAGTAAGAAACAGTCTCAGGAGCAAAGCTGCAGGCTCCTCTGGTCAAAAAATACTAGCAACCTGCACACAGCCTGCCAAGGCCCAAGACAGTGGCAATGAGGGAAAATAGCCTAAGTCTTAAGCTGCCCAAGGATGTACACATAGCCCTCTTCTCCTCTGGTACCCTGCCAATTTAAAGGGGATCTCAAGTAGGGTAATGTGTTCTTTAATAGCTCCTCTCAAGCAAACAAAAATGGTCCTTCACTCCCAGTGTTCATCCCAACCCTCATTCGAGGACCTGCTCCCTCAGATGAAAAGGGCACAATCTCAGGGCTTACAAGAACGCAAGAAGAAAAAAATAACCTTTGGTACCAGCTTTGAGACATCCTTAAAAGAGTTATTTGTATGAACTATACTCCTGAGTTTCCAAGTGGTTTCCTCTGGACACAGACATCCTCTCCCCTGGTATTCGAAGGAATGAGGGAGAAAAAACAGACAGGCAGAAACTATAGGAGTTTAGAACCACATGTCCCATAAGCCTGGCTTTTCAATCTCTGCAAAAATATCATGGATACCATAAAGACAAAGCAAGGATGACAGTCTACTCCACTGAACTCCCCAAGAATCCCAGCACAATGCCAAGTATCCAGCACTCAACAAAAACATGCACATGGCATCTATAAATGAGCCTTGCTTGGGCCATCATCCCCACCTGGGAAACACGGGTGGTAGGTAATGAATCCTGGAGGAAAGAGGCCAAGTGTTCCCCGTGTCATTTCACACTTGATCTTGCAAAGAGTCCAAGCTTCCCCATCTCATAGGTATGTCCAACTCCTCACATTCAGAGGCTCCAAGCCCCAAGGCCTAATACCCCAACATCTACCATAAGTTTCTGAAGAGAAGGTGCAACTTTTAGATCACACTTCTACTACAAAAAAAAGTGCAAAAGCAAGCAGCCCCAAGAGAGGAATTCACTCAGGGTACCTGCAAGTCCAGGTAGGAGAACAGAGGATGCTCAGAGCTCCCTGGGAGAGGGAGGACCCAGTAATCCCCTTCCAGCAAAACACATCCTTTTGCCTATGCAGCCAGCCTGTCCTTGAATTCAGAGCTGGGAAGATGTGAGGACATACAGGGGAGCCAGGGCATGTCACTGCACAGCTGCCAGGTAAGTCTCAGCTCAAGGGCTTCTCAGGAAAAGATGTCCCAACTCAGCCTGTGCCCAAGTCCCTTCACACAGCATCTCCCCAGGCTAAGATGTACAACAGAGCCATGTGGAAGTTTTCAAACAGCCCTTGGCCTTCAGCAATTAGGATCTAGTCCTCCTCTAGTTTCAAGATCCTTTGCCAGTCTTGTCTCCCCAGCTAGGATCATGCCAGGGTAGGATCACAGAAATAAAACAAAACAAAACAGCACAAAAGGGCCCAGTGTACTTTTCTCAGGGCCTCTCAGCTCCTCCACTATTCTTCATCCTCCCCAAGCCTTCCTGAGGGTCTGGGAGGCCAACCAGCCCTGAAGACCCAGGAGAGCAGAGGGTGGAGAGGCTGCCAGCTCACTGCCACAGGATTTAGCGATCCACATGGCCTTCTGGTGTCTCAGCCATTCTCATGCTACGGGGTGTAGCTGCTCTTCAAACCAACAGATGCCCCTTCTCCTCCACTCACTCTGGTGTAGATGAAGTCCTTGGGATCACTTTGGCCTTGGGCAGATGGGAGAGCACAAGCTAAGTTGCAGAAATGGAAGCAGAATGGAATAAGATGTGTTTGCTTCATTCAATGTTTCTTGGAGTAGTCGGCACTGCTCCAGGAGCCTTTCATGTTCTGTTTTCAGGAGAAAGAGGGACAAGGGAGGGAATTAAGATTTGCTGCTGACTTGCTTCCAAAGCAGATGGCTCAAAGCCATGCCACTGAGACTCCTTTCCCTCCCTCTGCCCCAAACAAAGAACAAACCCCAGAGAATGTCATCACAAAACAGGTGGAAGAGCTCAGGCAGGTCCCAGAACACGAGAAAGGGCCAGACATGGGCCAGGAGCCTGCTTAGTACCAGGCCATTTTCCTGCCAAAAAGAGGTAGGGAAGGAAGGTGGGACAGCCATGTGGATGGAACTATGGTTCCAGTAGGTTAGACAGTGCTTCTAAGAAAGAACAGGGGACCTTAAGGAGCCTTCTGAGGTGCCAGCAGGAGCCTCATGCTCATACCCCTTTAGAAGTCTAGGGCTGCTCTCTGTACCATACAGGGGCCCCCACTGGCCACACCCAGGTGAAAGAGAGTTGAGGACCCCCAAAGCAACACAAAGCTTCTCCTCTCTACTCAGCTAACAACAGAGCACCATGCTCAGCTCCTGGTACCAGACTCTGGACACACAGGCGATGAATGGGATGGCTTGATATGGCGGGGAGGCTCAGGTGGGGAGCCAGGCAGAGAAGACTGTGTCCTAAATCTCTGCCCCAGTCTTGACCTAAGCGACCTAGCAGGAAGCCTCACCTCTAAGACTCTGACTTGTACCAATGCCTTCTTTTAAAATTATTCTTAAAACAGTTGGGGACATATGTTTGCTGCCACTGCACAGCAGGGGTCTCTCCCTGAACTCCCTTATGCCACAAAAAAGCACAATTTTTAAAAAAGTATCCTCTCCAATCCTAAGTATCTCCACTAGACTGTTCTACAAGGGCCAAGAGGAGAAGCCAAGACCCAGGCAGACAGGTATGCAAGGGTTGGCTCCGCCCACTTTTACCCCACACTGGTCCTCTGGCTGGAGACTCACAGGGCTGAATGGCACAGGAGCCTCCATTCAGATCTGGGTGGGATGCAGAACCCCAGGCAGTCAGCGCCCCCTGTGGGGGGGCGGGTCCTCTCCCAGCTTGAAAGAGGCCCCCCCAAGGTCTATAGACAGATGGAGAGTGGGGGCTGCCACTTCCCTCTACCACAGCTAGCTCCAACCTGCCCTGGGACACCACAGGTCCACGGCTTCCAGCACCTACATGATGAAAATGCAACAATAACACCAAGAGCCCATGTCATTCACTCATAGGGCCCCAGGCTTGGGATACTTGGAGGGGGAAAAGACAGATGGGAAAGGACCTCACGATGATGGCACTGCTTATAAAACTGTCTGGCATGGACACATGAGCCACATATTCCACAATGGCCAGTCTGCACACAGACCAAGCTGCCCGACAGCTGAGATGCCATGACTTGGAGAGATGCAGGAAGGGACAGAGGGGCATGCAGCCAGTCATTTACCTTTCCAAGGTTAGTAAGGAGAAAACTTTGAGAAAATGTGACAGACAGTTCGTCTTTCAAGCATAGTGGAGAAGAGAAAAAAACAGGTTGGAAAAGAAAAAAATCTTTTAGTAGTATTTTTCTGGTGTGCATTTGAAATTTTAAAATGAAGGATGTACTGTGCATGTGAGGTGGTCTCTCCATACCAAGCAGCTAGCACAGACCCCAGGAAGACACTGTAGAGCGCAGGGCCCCGGCTGTGATCTCAATTTCACCAGGAAACCAACATCACCAGCAATACACCTCAAGGGCTTCCTCCTCTCAAGTGTGAGCTCCAGCTGCTAATGGGAAGAAATCCCACTGGCATGGGGCAGAAGGAATCAGGAACACCAAAGCGCAGGCTCAAACCCAGGGAAATCAGGGTATGTTCACTGAGCCCTGGGCACCAAGTCCCTCCCTGATAGCAGCATGGCCATTGCCCATCTGGTCTTCTTAGGTGCCACAAGACATTATTGCTAAGTGCCTTTTGTTTTATCTGTTTGTTTTTGTTTTGTTTGGCTTTTGAGACAGGGTCTCACTATGTAATCCAGGCTGGCCTTGAACCCACTACTGAGCCCAGGCTGGCCTCAAACTCATGGCAATCCTTCTACCTTAGCCTCCCAAGTACTGGGATTATAGGTGTGTGCCACCACACCCTGTCTAAGTGTCATATCTGTATTCTCAATATTAAAACCCTTAAGAAGTTATTATTCTCCATTTTACAGATGAAGAAGTTCAGGTCCTAGAACTGCTTTAAATTGCCCGGAGTTCCAAAAACTGTGGCCATTAGCAGAACTAAGGTGCAAACCTGGCCTGGTCTGACTTTAACAATACATTTTGGTCAAAGGCTTCAGGTCAATTCCTAGAATCGGTTGTATCTATGATCCAAGATGTGGGGTCAACATTCACAGGTTTGGCTGGACTCTAATTTTGCTGATCTGGAGGGATTCTAGCCAAAAGCACTCTTAGACTCACCTTGGAGATAGACTAGTCTGCTGTAGAAGGGTACGGGGATGAATCTGAATGGCCCTCTCACAGCAGGAGAGTGCTTCCAAAGGATTAGATAAACCAGGTGTTATGACACACACCTATAATCCTAGCACTCTGGGAGACTGAGGCAGAAGGATTACAAGTTTGAGCCCAGTCTGGGCAATTTAGAAACTTAGCCAGACCCTGTCTCAAAATGAAAAATAATAATAATAAGTTAAAAAGGGTGGGAATATAGCTCAGTGCAAAGGGCTTGGGTGCAGTGTGCTGCAAAAAGAATAATATATGCACACATACAGAACCATAAACTCCAAACTCAAAAACTACTTTTCACACAGGAGAACCCCTGGTCCACAAGTGGTCTCTGTGCTCAAAGGCTGGCTCCAAAGCACCACAGACACTGGATTATGAGGATGTCTTATTGGGAAGTTAATAGATTGACCCACCGTTAGCCATGGGAAGTAGCTGCAAGGACCAGGGGCCAAGGCATAAAGGCAGGGACACTCTCCTAGCTGCTCCCAGGAGCTGGCAGGGAAGAAGACACCAGCCCCCAGAAGCAGGAAGCCCTGTCTATGTTCTGGTTCTGTTCCTACTGACTGGATGGCCATGCCCTTACCTATTAAACAGGGAGGAACTTCCCCACCCACAGCCTGGGGTTATTTAAGGATCAGGGTCAACAGGCATGGGCCATCTCTCTTTTTGTGAGCTGTACAGCCCTACCAGTACATTTGACTCTGTGTGGTTCCACCACAGTCCAGGCATGATGCTGAACTACTCCTGTTTTCCAAAACAACCCTCATTTTTCAGCTCACCCAGTTTCTGCATAAACTCCTCAAGGTACCTTAATGACCACAAAGGGAATAATGGGAAGTGTGGCTGGTGGGCTGGGGTGGGATCTTGTGGTGGCTATAAGACGAAGGCCTTGGCTCCTTCTGCAGCTGGGGACCAACACAGCAACAGAGACACTGCATTATCTCCCAGTGGCTGCCAGAGCTGGTGCTGAACCAGACACTCCACAGAGCTCCAGCCCAAGGAGGGAGCAACCCAATGGGGCTGATGGCAAAGCTGTACTCACTCCTGCCTGTGACTTATGGCCAAGCATGTCCTGATACAAGACAACCAGATCTCAAAGAAGGTTTCCACACAGACCACTCAGGAGCAGGTGGGGCTCCCTCCAGGCCACACTCCATAAGGGGACATCCTCATACAGGTTCTGAGTAAATTTCTCTTTCAGAATGAAGGATGCTTCTCTGGGAAGAGGGGGTGCATAAAAGGCAATGGCGGCAAGCCAGGGCCCAGTTGTCACCAAATCTGACCCTAAGAGGGAACCCCAGACCATGAGCAATGCAGCTAACACCTCAAACCCCAAGAGGAACTTTGGAGAAGCAATCAAACATACTGAACAGCAGCTGGGGCACACTGCCACTTGCAGCCCTCTCTAAAACTTCATGAATTCCCTTCTTCTTCCTATGCTCATCTTTTCCTCCCCTGTGGAAGACCGCAGCCTTCCTAAAAACTGTCCTCATCCTCAATATTTTAAGGGGCAGGAAGCCAAACAGGCAAGCAAGACAGAAAGAGTGCAAGCAGCAGAATTATTCAGAAATACTTACAGACAGGCTTTCCCTAGCAAAGGCTGCAGGGAGGAAAAAGGAGAGAAAAAGGGAGAAAGGAGAGAGAGAGAGAGGTCAGTCAGGAGGCTGGGTATCATCTGGTGGGGCCACCCTGACAAACCTCCCTCTCCTGGCCCAACCAGAGGCTCCCAGGTTGCTCTAATGACTTAGCAGTCCTAAAGGACTGTCCTGTGAGTCTGGACAGCCCTTGAGGCAGAGAGGACTGGACCCTGGCACAGCGTCCTACCCGACCAGGGTCAGTGCACCCACTCCCAGCCAGCCAACTCCCCTCAAGCATCCCCAATAGTAGCCTCTGAACTTTCAAATAAGACCTTGCAATGCATGAGGACAGAATATCATAGAGATACTATTTTAGCTTTGCTCGGTTTTCATTTAAAAGGCTGGATTAAGACCTAAAATTAATGTTTGTCAGAAGTCTCCTAGTCCTATGCCCTCATTGTCAAAGCTAAGGAGACTGAGGGCCAGGGAGGTGAAGTGACCATGCTATTAAGATCCTACATATGTGCAAATGGCCAAGCGACAATAAAAGTCAGGCCTCTAGGCTGACCACTGTTGTCTCACTGGATACATACAGTCTTACATCCTCCATGTGCCAGACACCAGGTTACATGCATGGTATGACTCGCCTCATCTAATCTGCCACTTGCAGTAGGTAGCATCCCCCCTTCCATGGATGACAAAACTGAGACCCAGGGAGGTCAAATGACCTACAGAGGCTGCAGCACTCTCCCCCATCATATTCCAGACTCCAAAATGGTTTAAAGAAGCTCCAGGGAAGACAGGAAGAGTTGGTGGGCTGCAAATAAAGCCCCCAGAGGTGGCTTGGCAAAGAGCTCATGAACAAAACCAATTTGAGCTTCAGCTTGCATTGATTTGTAAGAGGCCAGGCATGGGGAAGTCCTGGGGTGGTGGCTCAATTGGAACCCAGAGTTTTCTACAACTTACATATTTGCAAATGATCTTGGCAATCTTTTAGGAAATTACCTGTTTTTCTGAAAATAAATCTTAATACACAGTTGCCAAAATCTTTCCTTTTCAAGTCTTCCAAGCTAATGAAATCTTGTTGGGTTAAGCTTTATTTTGGTTTTTACTACCCAGTGGAATACTTATGTTCTGTTAAAAGGGGCTCCTTCCCAGTTACCCAGGCTGGCAGCCAGGCTATCTGATTCTAAGGGGACCTTGCTGGCTCCAAGTACAGCATGGGCTCCAGGCCCTGTGCTTTTCTTTCATGGAAGTGACCACAGACAGAGACCAATGACACACTCAGCAATGGGGTGGGACAGAAAAGATGCCCAAGGCTGGGCATGGTAGTACACCCCTGTAATCCCAGCATTCGGGAGGCTGAGGCAGAAGTACTGCCATGAGTCTGAGGCTGGCCTTGGCTGCATAGTGAGTTCAAGGCCAGCCTGAACATAGCAAGACCTTGTCTCAAAAAAAAAAAAAAAAGAAAGAAAGAAAAAGAAAAAGAGAAAAGATGCCCAAGGTCCAGAACTGGACAGAGATTTCTGCACTGGGGGACCACTGTAGACATTTTTGTTTTAGAAATAACTATTCACTAGTGTGAACAGGACTGAAGACATTTCATTCTCTGACGTTCTGCCTGCTCTGCCCAGTTCTGCCCAGTAAAGACCATGACATCAGAAAGGACACACATGCAGTCACAGTCTCTCAAGGGTCTTCAGAATGGACTTCTCATGTTCCAACACCTGTGCCTGTACACATATACACAACACACACACACACACACCTACAACACAAGGGCACACATACACATACTCACCCACAAACACACCCACACCCACACAGTCCCAGGTCTAAGGTTATCGCCCCCAGGCACTCTTCCCCCAAGGCAAGGAGGAAAGGGGAGTCACTGACTTGTCCGGGTAGCTGCGTGGGCACTTCCGGGGGCAGGTAGCTGGGCAGGGCAGCAGAAGTGGAAGCCACATGCTCCTCAAAGCTGTTGATGCGAGGCTTTTTGGTGGGCTCGGGGCTGGCTAGTGGGGTGACACTATTGCGTCTCATGAGCGGGTTAGGTCCCTTCTTTGCATCCTAAGCAAGACAAAGACAAAAGAGAGAGGGAGACAGTTATAAGGAGGGGGAAGAAAAGTAGATAAGGCACAAAAAGTCTCCCCGCTCCTGGATTTTAGGGTTACAACCCAATGGACCAAGGTGAGTGGCTGGGGGGGACCTTGGGCTGCTGTCTATGCCATGATTGGTACCAGTTGGTAACAGGGGTGACTCCCTCCCACGCTTCTTCCATGGATCATTCCAAAAGGCAATCACATAATGTGACATGTGCAAAGCAGGGAGAGAAGCAATTAGAACCAGAGTAGAGAGAGAAGTCAGAGAAAAGAACCTTGCTTCCAGCCCCTAGGAGGCCCAGGAGGGGAGGCCAGAAGGCAGACTTGGGTCTGAGGCTCACAGGAGGGGGAGCAAAAGGGGTCAGCACTAAATCCCTTCTGTTAGACCTCTTCTTCTAGGATCAGCAGCACACAGGCACACCCAGAAAACAGTCCCTACTCACATACAATACTCTGCTTGTGCACAGGACACCAAGGCTTCAAACCAGCCAGGAGACCGCAGACACAGAAATGGGGCAGAAGGCAGAGCCTAGCAGCCGGGTCCAGACACCAACCCTCCTATCAGTGATGTGAGCCCCTGGGGCCCCCTGCAAAGCACAGCCCAGGAGTCTCAGAGCTGAGGGATATCTCTGTATAGTTCTGCCCCACTGCAAGGAAGCGGTCTGAGACCACTGGAGCCCAACTAATGCCCAGTGCCCTGCTGGAGCAGCAGGCAGGAGTCAGGCCAGGAGCATCATCACCTGGCTAAAGTGACCGAAGCTCCCAGGAACCCTTGTTCAAGGGGGAAGGGGGGCAGAGGGGCAGGGCAGAGAGGCCAAGGGACACCATCCGCTTTCATTTTGGTCCACAGGGAAGTGAAGCACTAAAGTGGCTGACATCTTGTGCTGTGAATGCCAAAATCTGACAGCCAAGCTCTTGGGAAATAGGGAAGTCACCTGCTTGGGGGACTCCAGGGCAGCAAGTCATGCTCTGTCTAAGAGGAATGTCTGACTATACTGGCAATGACTGTACTATTATATTTTGACAGCTTATATAAAGCAAATTCAAACTCACTTTCACAGTGCACACCTGGACAGAGATCCAGTCTGCTCCAGTAAAATTCTACATGCCCACCCCTCAATCTAAGAACTACCCAAAGTGGAAGGCAGTGATAACAGGCACTGGGTCCCCTGAAAAGCCTTCCCGCTGGCTGGCCCTCATGTCTCCCAGCCTCCTGTCCTACTTCCTTTGAATTCTTGGTTATTCTGAACCCGAGCGTGTACAGATGATCATGCCAATTGGCTGATCCTGTTTGAACCAGGGTACTGAAACTTCAAAGCATAGGGTCAGCTACCTGAAAAGATAACAGTAACTGTGCTCAGGTTCTATTTAGAAGGGGAGAATGTCTCTCCTTGAATGCTCACTTCTCAGCTCAACTGGAAACAGGAAAAGGAGGAACATAAAAGGAAAGGAAAAGAAGAAACAGACACTGAGAAGCCACAGGAAAAACAGGGCAAGAGTACTGAGATCCTAACTGTAGCAGCCAGACAGACCAAGTGCCTGCAAGCCACTCTGGTAAGAACCCAGCTAAAGGCACCCAGTCATAGGCCTTCTCAAGGTCCGTTGGCATCCTGGAGTGATGGAGGCCAGGATGGCAGCATCAGGGGCCAACACTCACCTCTGACCTCTCCCGGTGTGTGCTCACAGACTCCACATTCAAGTAGATGGACTCCACACGGCAACCTGTGGGACAAAGATGGCGGAAGAGGACACCCTCTGTTAAAGCCTCTGTCTGCAGCCCCACGGCCACCAGCAAAGACAGCCCCCAGGGCAGGACTGGGTGAGGGCTGCTACTCACCGTAAGCAACAGGTGTCAGTTTCAGAACAGTGTGAAGGGGGCATTTCAGGTAGGGCATCTCCTCTGAAAAGAGAAAGGTGGTCCCACAATTACATACGAGACTCTAGAGGAAGGGGGAGGTGTGAAGGGGCATCTCTGGACCCAGAGCTTCTGCCATGGAGACCCCAGAAGCTGTGCCCGTATGCAGGGGCATCCTCTTCCAGTACATTCCATCCTGCCCAGGGCAGAAGGCCCTAGAAAAAAATACCTTGCCAAAAGAACACAATCCAAATGAACTAAAACACCACTTTCACACAGGTAGTTGAGGTTTTTTGTGGTGTTTTTTTTTTTGAGACAGGATCTTGCTATGTATTCCAGGCTGGCCTTGAACTCACAGCAATCATCCTGCCTCAGCCTCCTGAGCGCTGAGATCACAGTTGTGCACCACCACATCCAGCTAAAATAAGTTTCTTTAAAAAGTGGAGGAGGCTTCAAATATTTGGCTTTCCAATTTTTTTTTTAATTTTCCATAATTTTAATTTAGGTCTGTCTAGTGATTAAGCTAAAACTTTGATAGACATAAGACACAAAGTGGTAATAGCATCATTCAAGTTTTCTGGGCTGTTTGACCTTGGAGGTAGGTTGATGAGAAGAGCTGCCCCCATACTCAACCCGAAGACCCGTAGATGTGTGAAGGAGGAGGGCTTTGAGAGAGCTGTTTTATTAGGAGCTAAAGCCTCTGGGCATCACACTACTCAACAGCATTTCCTGAGGGTTGCCAAGGAGGCACTGGGTGGAGAGGACTAAGCAGAAGACCGTGAGCCAGGCCCATGGCCAACTTTTCCTAACTTCTGGCATCGTAGCAGGGTGATCAGTAGTGCGTCTTTGGCCACACGCTCTCAAGGGCCACTTTCCTTCCTCCCTCCTTCTGAGGCCACACTTGCCCAGCGGTACCTGCACTCTTATCAAGGAAGTAGGCCAGCAGGCAGCGCAGGACAGCCTGGTGGCAGATGACCAGTACGTTCTCCTGGCGCTCCAGCTCCATGATCACTGGCTCCAAGCGTTGAACCAGGTCCTGGTAGGACTGAGCACACAGGGAGGGGGCATGGTATCAGAGCAGAAGACATTCAGGAAGAACCCTGCCACTGTCCCGTCTTCTGTCATCACAGACCAGACAGTCAACCCACCTGTCAATCCATCAATCCACCCCTCCAAGTGCTCAGCTCTGCATTAGTGAAATAATCTTAAGAGATCATAAACCAGCCATCTTGCCTGAGTCCCTTCCTCTTCCTACTCCTCTCCAGGGCTTGAGGGGCAGGTGGCGCAGTGGAACATGACTGGCCATAAAAGCAGTAAGGCCCTGACACACAGCCTAGCGTGAAGAAACCTCAAAAACTCTTATACAAAAGTCCACATATATTGCCTGATTCCACTTCTGTGAAATGTCTAGACTGCAAGGCCACAAAAAAAGTAGGTGCATATTTGCCAGGATCAGGGGGTGGAGTGACCCATTTGGACTGACTGCTAACAAGTCTGACGTTTCTTTTGGAAGTGAAGAAAATGTCCTAGAATTAGAAGTGATGGTGACATGGCACTGTGAATCCAGCTGTCCTTTCCATCTGTGGTTTCACAACCACTGAAGACTGAACATTCAGGGAAGAGAACTGCATCTGTACTGAACACATGCAGGGATTTTTTCTCATTATCCCCTAAACAATACAACATAACAACTATTTATGTAGCATTTACAATGCATTAGGTATTATAAGTAATGCAGAGATAATGTATACAGGGGGATGTGTGGTTATATGCAAAGAATTACATAAAGGACTTGAGCATCTATAGATTTTGGTGTCTGCAAGGGTCCTGCAGCCAATCCCCTCAGAATATGAAGGAGTGACTATACTCTAAAAACTAGAGTTAAACACTTCAACACAGTAAAAAATGATGAATTTTGTTCCATTGATTTTATATCAATTTAAAAAACGTAAAAAGAAGGGGTGGAGTTGTGACCTTAAATAGCAAAGCTCTTACTCTTCCTGGGCCCTCCTCTACCTCCTTCCTTGTCCTCCTGACCAGGGGCCCAATGAGTGAGGGCCAACTTGGGACAAGAACACAACAAGCTGGCCCATCAGGGACTGAGGCTGGCAAATGCCCAGAAGCGCACAGGCAGGAAAGATGCCCACTAGGTGTCAACACACTGCCTGGCCGTAGAGGACCAAGAGACTCTGCATTCTCTGCTTGCACCAAGGTGGCTGCTTGCTGTGCCATAGTGAGTGACAGGGAAAACGGCCTCTACCAGCGTCAGCTCAGGTCCCACACGAGGTATGAGACAACTTCCTTGAAGCTGGCCTGTCTACCACCTCATCTGCAGCCCTGGGGAAATTCCTTGTCTGGAGTGAAGCACCATCCACTATCTTCCTCTTTCCCTGTCATTACATTTGTCATCAGAGACACATATGTACACCTCTCACTTTTGCTTATAGGAAAATATAACTACTTCTCTCTTAAGGTTGTTTATGGGGTTGCATTTAGGAAGACTAAGTCCACAGTGCAGTGATAGAAGTCTGTAGAATGGGTCAAGAAGGGTGAATGGACAGTTGCTGGCTGGTAACAGGGTCACCTGGCCCCACACCCCTTTCTTCACCAACCCCACACACACCACACACCACCTACTCCTGGCCATGATCTGCCAAATGAACAAAGGCGCAGCCTGCAGTAAACAGACAGAGCGGAGTGGGAGTGACCTGCACGCTTACCTCACCCGTCGGGTAGCGGTAGTAGTATTTGTCCTGCTCACGCAGCACATACTCCTCAGGGTACGTGTCTCTGATCTCCTCATAGGTAAGCTCCTCACAGACTCCCTGGTGGAAACACTACATTTACTCTAGGGAACACACCCAAAGGGTCTGAAGGAGATCTCAAGATGCTACCCAGGATGCCCAAGAGGGATTCTAGTACATTTGAGGGAAGGCTCCCCACTCCCAGCCCAACCTCTGACCATGATGTCCTAGAACTCACAGCATCGATCTCATTGAGTGCCTTCCATTGCTCGTAAGGGAGTTTAAGTGCTTCTGCCGTCTGGATGGTGCTCTTCAGCTGGCTGGTCCACACCCGGAGGTCCTTCAGGTTCTGCTCCTCAACAAACTTGCTCAGAGCGTTGGCAAACTGAGAATGGGAGGCGGGGTACTGACACTGAGCCCTCTGCTCCTCCAAGAGGCAGGGCAAGATGCTCATTCCTCATGTCAAGCTGGACTCTCTTGTGACTCAACAGTCACCAAGGACCGCTGACCACTGTGATATACCCTCCTAGAGTCCAGGAAACTTGGCTCTACCCTCCCCTTCCCTGCCCACACTCACTACTATGCATAGACACACATATACAAATACAAAAAAACACACAGATGAACACAGTAAAGCAGCCACAGCAAAAATTGCATGCCACACCCACCTCTAGGACCCCACAACTCCCCCACAGACAGGAGCTGGTCACCCTTCTGGCACCTGTCAGCCCAGCCCCTTCCCCTCTCCTCTCCTCCTACCTTCTTGCCTCTGCTGGACAGGCCTGAGTCGCCCCCAATCTTGCCCTGCAGGTTGTATTCATTCTCGCCATGCCGACAAAGGTAAATGGTGCGGGGCTGTACGTGGATGTTCATCAGATAGTACACAATTCGACTCTGGATGTGGTCCTGGACTCTGTTCACCAGGAACCTCCGGCCAACATCAATCACTTTGATCAGCGACAAGTCCCTGAGGAGAAATGCCACTGAGGACCACCACTCTGGCCACATCCACAGCCAAGCAGCACACCCAGACTGGGCCAGGCCCATTTCCAGAACACTTGCTGCCTAAGAGAACTGCAAGGTTAGACAATTCCTTCCTCCGTGGCACAAAATGAGTCTTCCTCTCTGCAGTCAGAGAGCAAAATCAAGGCAATGATCCCCACAGCAGGGGACAGCAGGCCCCCAGGAGAAAGAGAGAGAAAAGCAAAGAATGGAAAAGAGAATGTAGGAACTCTCAGAGGTGACAAGACTGGACTCCTTTGGACACTGATCCTCACACAGAATGATGAATCACACTGGAAAGCTTTCTGCTTAGAGATATTTGTATTGAATATGGGTTCATAACTGATTTATTTTTCTAATAAGACATTTTAAAAGTTTACTGAAGTACTCGGGGGCAAATCCTTGGTGGGACTATCAAGAAAACATTAAATGCCCTAATGTAGGTAATTCAGAGATGGTCGCAGAATTACCTACCTGTCACTTTTATCAGGGTCGAGGGGCTGGTAGCTGGCTTCATAGCAACTGATTCTCTTCATGAAGTCGTCCATGGCTTCTGCTGAGTTGCAATCTTTGTAATCCGGGCTGGAGATTTTCACTTCCTGTAACATCACAAAGAGGTAGCTGATGAATCACACTGGAAGGCTTTCTGCTTAGATTAAGCAGGATTTGGGGCTTTCAAAAGGGGAAGCCCAAAAGGCTCAGAATAAAGATTATCCTGCCCAGTGTCTAAGCAAAAAAAGAAACTGGGGGTTGAGTCACAGCCCAATCATTACATGGGGAAGATGCCTAGAAAAGAGAACTGCCGGTTGGATGGACAGACACGGGAAACCCACAAGGATCCTTTAATGAACACCTCTGAACAGGCGCCTGAATCTGGATCAGTTCAGTAAGTGAGTCACCACTAGAGAGCCTGGCTCTAACTCAGCAAAATCCCACATAAGCACTTGCAAAGCTCCTCACACCAAGTGCAGGTAACTGGTAATAAAAGGTGCATTACAAGTTGTTAGAAATGCCCTTGACCTTGTGAGGGCTCCTCTCCATCCAACCAGAGGCAGCATGCACTTGGGCACGTCTATGACCAAGCTTCAATCCCTACTCAGAAGTTTTTAATATCTGTGCTTTCATTTCTCTTTTTAATATCTGTGCTTTCATTTCTCTTTGAAAACAGCCACTACTATGAGGCAGCCACTCTTCAAAGATCCAAGCCCCCAGGGCATCTGTGTTCCACAGGTGCAGATGTTCCAGTAGGGCGATAAAAGGAGATGGATGCGTGACTGCTACCAACATGAATGTACCTCATGCCACTGAGCTGGATGTAAATTATATGTTACGTGTATTTCATAATTTTAAAAAATGTCCAAGTTCACAAATTCCTAGGTCTAACTTGCGTAGTTGCTTTGAGGTTTAAAGAAAGATTTCTGAAGAACACAGAGGTCAGGATAAACACTGAGCTGTGTAAATGGACTAAAGCTAAAGGATAACTTAGCTAAGCACATTGATGACTACTCACTGAGGAAAATGACCTCACAGCTGCACTCTGCTTCACTAACAAGTGGAACAAGGAAAGCGAAACCAAAAAAAAATCCCACAGGATGTCCCTTTGTTTAGATTATTACAACTTCTGTTTCCTTGTACCTTCAGCTTCTTCCTTTGGACCCACTGAAACTCATTTGAACTCATTTTCCTCAATTCAAATTGCCTTTCCTGAAATAGGGACTCATTTCTTAGAAATGTTTGTGATTCTTTCCACTGCCTTAGAGAAAAGGACCAATATATGAAGCTAAGGCATGCTTAGCATGCCCTTTAGAGGTGAACGTTTATACGCAGCAACACCACAGCATCCCTGTCTGTAAAGAACTGCTTTTCTTTATAAATGCCTTATTCTGATACATTTAAACTGGAGAGAAAATGATCTACAACACAAGAAGGTGACCTGAGAGAAAGTCTTCACAGTAACCATTTCTGTTCAAGATATATTGCTAGCAAGTGATAAAATTAAGAATTAATCAAATGATGCTGCCAATTCCCCTCAGTTTATGTCCGCAAGCTCCTCGTGGTCCAGTGGAGATGAGGAAGGGGCATGTCACAGGTTCATTAGATGCATTAGCAGGAAGACAGTTTCGCAACAGCCCTTCTTCCCAGACATGGGAACTCTGCTGTGAACATACTGAGTCCTAGAGGTTTTTGTTTCCACACAGCCATTCTTACTCATTAGGAACCTTAAGAGCAGAAAAGATCAGCTGGCTCCTTTCTGTCCCACCCAGAGTGGGGAGCGGCCCTATCACTCAGCTGCCAAGCTCCGGCCCCCTGCCTCCCCACATTATCTCCCGTCCCACCCAAGGCTGTGTACTGTCCTCAAAGACCCTTCGTGGAGCTGGTCCAGGTCACAGACTGAACTTCTAAGTTAAACATCTCTGTGTATCTCTCACCTCATGTCCAGCCCTCAGTCAATCCCAACCTGGGGAAGGCAGCTCCTTCTAAAGATTTAGTCACTCTTCAGGCCCCAACCTGGGCTGTTTTTCTGGGGTTGCAAATGTCCTTGCAGTCTAAGCTGCAGCATGCAAGTGGGGCTTCCTACTGTCTTACCATGATGTTGGAGGCTACAACTGTAGGGTCATCACACACAGACTCGATGAAAAATGCCTGGTGGGAATGAGACAGAAACATTAGAAAACAACAAATGCCACAAAGGGCCAACTTTGATGTTATCATCATACACAAAGAGGAAGGATGCCCTTCATCCATTCCCAAAGACGTGACAACCACCTACACACTGCCAAGTTCTTCAGCCTCCTACTGTAGGGTCCTGCCACGAGGAAGGTCCTATTTTTAAGTGGCAAAATTTGGGGAGCAGGAGGCAATGGATCGAGCAGAAATCAGCTCCCTGAGGCTTTCATCTCTCCTGAGCTTGCTGAGACAAGATAAGAAGTTTAGCTCACCTTGAAATCATTTTCTTTGGCAAAATGAAGGATCATGTGTCTCCTCTCTCTAGTGGTATTAGTGGCATCAAAAACCTGATAGGAAAAAGAAAGAGTCAGGAAGGAGAGCCAAAGTTTGAGTTTGACAATATTTACCAAAGCCACCAAGTAAATGAAACCTGTCATTTCCAAGGAAAAGCCTAAAACTACACTTCCAGGAGAGACTGTTTGGGCCTCTCTAGAGCAGGCAGACGCTCCTCTCCTGTTGCCTACAGTGCTCAAAACAGTAGGTGAGGGTGAGAACAGCACACAAACCAGCAGAAGCATGTCGTGGGAGGCTGAACATGCAAGGGACATTGGTGCAAGGTAGGCAGCAACCCCAGCCTTACCTGGCTGCTGATCAAGGGGTTAGGTGACAGAGCATGCCACAGTTGTGCTACCCTGAGACCACTTTCCTGAGACACCAGGCTGGTTACCTGCTTCCCCGGACCCACAGAGGCTCCTGTCCCCATGTGTCATCCCTACAATGGCTCTCAGCACTCTCAGGCCAGTGAGGCCACACTCTGCCAGAGGACTGGAGACTGAGCTGCCTGCATTTCCCAGACTTACTGCAATTTGTCCCCCTTCCTTTGTCAGGTAACTCTTGACATCTCTCAAGGCAGCTAAGGCACACTGCCTGCAACACACAAGAACAAAAAGCCACCCATTAGAGCAGGCCTACCCACAGGAAAGCCCAGGCCACCCCTCACAGCGAAGAAATTCCACTTCTAGGCTGCTCAGTACTGACCAGGCCTCCTGAGGCCCAGAAGCTTCCAATCCGAGGCCCAGTGCAGGCTGGCTTCAGGCACCCTTGGGGCAGCAGCACCTGCACATGGCTGTACAGTAGAATTGTTCCCCTGGGGAAACTACACAGAATCTGATGCCAGAGCCCACCCACAGATCCTCACTGGATGGCCTGGAGTGGAGTCTGGTATGAGGAGCTTTATAAGCTCCCCAGCTGATTCTAATGTGCAGCCAGGGCTGAACACCATCACACTAGGGTTTCACAATTGTGCTTCATAAGAAATCCTCTTCAGAGGCATTGACTCCCAATGAAAAGGAGTGTGCTTACTCTCCGAATGTGGTTGCTGTTGATCTGTCTCACATCAGCTTAGCTAGACTCTGGGAACAGATCAAAGCAGCAAGTCTCAGAGGCCAAGAGACTTGTCCTGACACTGAACTGATCTGACGGCCACCAGTGGAGAGCCACACCGAAGGCTGGCCTTCCCTTCCTCTTACAGATCCTTGCTAAACACGCAGTAAAACAACACCCAGGGCCTACAAAGTAGATCACATCTTACTTTCGGACTTTCATGGCTTCTTCATTGTCAGGGCGGAAGAAGTTATAGGAGCTGTATTGCTTCACAGCCTCACGGCGATACTCTCCCACATTGAACACTAGATGGAAAAGACAAGGACAGCCTGGGTAACCCAGCAGGAGGAAAGACCAACTTCCAACTGGGAGTATGATCCCCACCAAAGAGAAAACCAGCCAACCATAACACATTTCAGTAAGATGACATCTGGTATGGAAATCAGAGTGTGGCCTCTCAGTACAAGGTTACTGTCCCCTTCCTGGAGCTATAGGCTGGGAAGCAACCCTGCCTCCCCAGCCCAAGTCATAGTGTCCACCGCTGCCTGGTTTATCTGAGGCTGGCTCACTGGCCCAGCCTCCAAGCCAGCCTCACAATATCATGGCCAGAGACTGAGACTGGGAACAAGGCAGAGGAGAGTCAAGTCTAGCAAAGGTGGGACAGTAATTTCTATGCAGTGTTCAAAAGTGAGTGGGTCTCTCACTCACTGCCAGGGCTTGTCGGCCATTCTCCTGCTGGCACAGAAGCCAGTGCCAAGGGACACGTTTCACAGTCATTGAGGGAGAGCGTGGCTCAGTAGCAGAGTGCCTGCTTAGCATGTACAAGGCTCTAGGTTTAATCCTCAACACCAGAGTGAGAGAGAGACCAAGAGAGAGCAAGAGAGAGAGAGAAAGTTACTGGATACTGGCTGGACATAACAAGGGAACAAAAAATATAAAAATTGGTTCCATCTTCCAAATGTTTCCCATTTAATTTGGAAGGCCAGGCAGAGATTCATAACAGTGTCAACAGTATGACAGTATAAAACACTGGAGGACATCAGTAGAGGAATAGTATGACCAAGGGCAATGGGAATTTCAAGGAAAAACATCTGTGTAGACTGAGGTGGCTAAAGAAAGCTTCATGAAGGGAGTGAACCTAGGTCAGGCAGGATCTGGGGGAGTGGGAAAGGAGAGAATGAGCCAACAGCAAGAGAAGGATGTGGACACAGCATGGCGGAGACACAGCTGGAATAGGAGGCAGGATTAGACTCCAGAACTTAAAACAGAAGTGGCCCAGAGGTGACCCTGCCCACAGGTTCCAGTGACCTGGGGCAGAAGGTCCAGTTTTTGCAGTGTGGAAGACACAAGCACGGTCACAGTGCTCAATGTAACAGCCCTTGCCTGGGACCCAGCTCACCTTTTGTTGGGACGCCAATCCAGTTGAGGTAGCGAGTCAACTTCTTGGAGATGTAAGTCTTACCCCGGGCAGGGAGGCCCACCATAACAATCACCGTGGGGGAGTTGGTCAGCTTTGGCCCACAGGCTGGAAACCGCAAGCAAGAAACGGATCATAGATTAGATGACAAGAAGTGATAAACAGCCCTATGCCCAACAATAAACTTTAAAGAATGGCACTGAAGGGCCAGGGATTTAGCTCAGTGGTTTTGACGCCTACTGCACAAGGGCAAGGACCCAAGTTTGATCCCCGGTACCAAAAATAAAAAAATAAAAATAAATAAATAAATAAGAATGGCACTGAAATTTGTATTTCATTGCCCATTCCAAAACCCCTGGCATCTGATAATCCAATAGGACCAGAGACCTTCCCTAGCCAGAGCCCTTGAGTCACACCTTGTAGCTTGAGCCCGAGTCACACCATGTAGCTTTACCTCCTTTCCTGACAGTATGTGGCAAAGATAGTCTCAACCCCAAATTACTGGTCTGAGAGGAGGGTCCTGACCCAGCCAGCAACCCCAATCTCTAACACCAAAGTAGAAGGGCACTCCTTGAGGGCTGCAAGAAAGGGACCTTAAGGGATCGGGGGAGTGAACAGTAGGGAGAGGTGGTTTCCAAATTCAGTGTGCAAACGGAGGGGACAGGTGGCAAAAGGACTTGGGAGGTGGGTCCCACAGAGCCAAGAGATGGAGAGAAGTCAACCGTGAACTTCTGAACTTACACAGGAGGTTTGGGCAGCTGTTTGTTTGTTTGCTTGTTATGTAGCCCAGGCTGGCCTCAAACTCACAGTTATCCCTCCTGCCTCAGCCTCCCAAAGGCTGGGATTACAGGCATGTACCACCATGCCTGACTAGTAGCCACTTTTAAAAAGTACGAGTTTATCAAATGACTGTAGGTCAGGGACTCAGAAGACAGGTGAATCCCATAATTCCTGACCCACTTCCTCCTTTCTCCCCACCACCATCCTGCTGCCTGTTTCTGATGGATATCAGGTCCTCTTGAAGGAACAGGGTCCCCAGGCAAGGGTCGGCTGCAAGGGAACTGCTCTAGCCTGTGACTTTCCTGGTTTTGGGTGCTGAGTGGGTGTCCCACATTCCTCAGAATCTCAATAAGGCAAAACCCCAGGGAGGAAGGGTTTCACAAAGCAGCCAAAAGAAACCCTCTCTGGAAACTGAAAGCCCAGTATTTCCTTGGCTGCCACCTTGTCCCTGCGACTCTCAGGCAACTCTTGCATCCTAGTGACAAGCTCACAAGCCAGAGGCTGCCTGCCAGCTCCAGCTCTGCTGTCCTCACCCCCTCCTGGCACAGGCAGCCCAGCCTACCGGGAAAGTTCTGAAAGCCACACCATCAATGTGGGCAGGTATCAGATTTGGCCAGAGGCTCAGATGCAAGGATAAGCCTAAACCGCAGGGGGAAGGAAGACATGCCACCGCCCTAAGGACAGGGCATCCCCTAAGCCTAAGTGGGTCATGGAGCACCAGCCAAGGTCATCGACTCTGCCTCCCAGACAGGGAGGCTCAGAGCAGGCAGCAGCATGTGGTCTGCAGGGGCTCTGTTTCCTTGCTGATAGTCCAAACAGGGTGCAGGACAAAGTGAGGCTATCAGGGCATCAGGAGACCTTCTAGAGCCATATAAAGCTCTGGCTGTATTCTCTCAGGTTCCAGAGGCCTGGGAACAAACAGGTTCCTAGAGAACAGATGCTGACCACTGCAGAGGGAACACCACCACCATCACCACCACCACCCACACCCTTAGGTGATAAGCATGTGAGTGAGTGAGCCACACAAACAAGTACCAAGCAAGAGGCCTTGTGTCCCCAGGTCAGGAGAGATTCGTAAGACCCACCCTAGTGTGTCCAGGGTTTATTCTAGCAGCTGTAATGACACATCAGAAAAGTGACAGCTAGAGCCGGGTACTATGCTGTGCTCTCAGAACTCTGGAGGCCAAGGCAAGAGTGTTTTCGGTCAGCTTCAGCAATTTAGCTAGTTCAAAGCCAGCCTGGACTACACAGTGAGATCCTGTCTCAAAAAACAACAACAAAAAAAGGAAAGTGGTAGCAAGGCTGACATTTTTTCACTGTGCATGGAAACAGTCTGCTCATTGGCCTTTACCCAGGCCACTGTCCCTCCTCATCAGGTGACCCTGCAGAGCCAACGCTCCTGAGAGCACCCAGCATGCCTGGAGACAGAAACACACACAGCTGTGTACACACACGGAATACTTCAGCTAGAACCGCACCCAGAAAGCAGAGGTGAAGCTGACTGATTTATCAAATAAGGGATTATGTCTATCCACTAACCACAGAAGCAAATCTCCTCTGGCTGTAAGCACTTTGGAAGGGAAAAACAAACAAGACAGTAGACACAGCAGAGTTAATACCTTAAGGCAAAAGTTCAGGTCAAATTCCAAACCCAAATAAACCATCACTCCCAAAACTGGCAAAGCAGAAGCCATCCTGCCCATTCTCAGGCTGGGACTGCCAAAGGGGCTATGGCTTTCTCTAGCCAGGTGCCTGCCCTCTGGACCATGGCACTGAGGGAACGACAAACCCTTTTGACTAAATTGCTATCATTCTGTTTTGTTTTGTTTTTTGGCAGGAGGGGGGGTGCCTAGGGATTGAACCCTGACCCTCTTTCATGCTAATAACCAAGGGCTCTGCCAATGAGCTACACTCCTTAACCCAGTGGTGGTGAACCTGTGGCACATGTGCCATAGCAGGCTGTTTGTATCATTAAAAATTCTAAAAGGTTCGCCATCACTCTCCTAATCCCTCCCCACCTTTTCTTAAACTCAGCACATCTCAAATCCTTCCATGAACCTTTAATCTTCTATCCCACTTGAATTCCCCAAACCTTCAGCTTCTTCTTCTCTACAGAACTTTTTACTGCCCAAAAGGAGACACACCTAGCCCTGCCACCATCCCCCACTCCTGTACCTCTCTCACCACCCCTCCTGGGTCTCTGCCTTTTCTTCTTTCCTAACAGCACAGGGATTAGGGACAATAAATTCAATTTAACACACAATCTTCTGAGGCAAATCTTATGTCTCGTTTCACATTATATAAAAGTTTAATACTTTTAAATTTCTGACAAAAAAGTCTTTATGCTAAGAGGCATTTAAATGTCAAATCTAAATGTCAACTTAGACATACATAAGAGGTAGATATTCACTATGTTAGAGAGGAAGGAAGCCACTGTCTAAAGAGCACCAGGCCCCAGGGGAGCTCAAACTAAAAGTGTTGCCCATCTCTAAGGTCATAGTCATGGAGTAAGATCTCACAGAAAGTCACCAAGTCCCTGAAGCTGAGCCTCCACTCTACAATGTCATCATGTCCGTGCACTCACTAGTTTACAAGCCACCTGCCCTGGGTGCCAGGTGTAGGAAGGAGGCAAAGGGGCAAAGCAAGGTGAGCCTCTGAGCAGGACCACTGAGCCCAAACCTGCCTGTCCACAAGCGGGTCAGACCACGCTCTCAGTTCATGATGCACACTGGCTACCTGTACTCATTCCATGCAGACAAACATGCACAGGACACCAAAAAAAGACCAGAAGGTTAGCTAGTGAGCACACGAGCTGTATGCTATGGCCAAGGAAGCTGATTATGGAAAGAATCTGCCAGAGAGATGGGTAGGCCCTCTACCTTGAAGTGCTTATCTCCTGTCCTCAACCACCCTGATTCCTGGAACCCATCCTCAGAATAAAGACTGTTGGGAAGACCCTTTGCTGTAGCCCCCATACTTCCCTCTAACTTCCTCCTACCTGAGGCTCTGCAAAACGCTAACCTTAAAAAAGGATTTTCAAATTCAGTCTGCTCTTTTCTGTAAGTAGATGAGTTACATTTCAACTACAAGTTCAAGGGGAAGAAATGGAAAAGGCCATTTATGACAGAACTGTGAACCAAGAAGGAATCCATCCCTGTAGCTGCCTAAGGAAACAAAGATTGTGCCTGTCTACAGGGACCATCTCGACCTACTCTCTAGAGCAAAGACCTGTTTTGGTCCTACAGATATACAACTGCCCTAAGCGTGTCTTCCTGGAAACAGACTTAATCCACTTGGCCTGTGAGAGACCAGAATGCAGTACACATTTGGAAGAGGCCAATGCAGGTCACAGGTTGCTGTCTCCTGGACACAAACCTCTCTTCTCCTGGTATCAGATCTGGCCGCAGGACTCTCAAAGTAGGCTGGGTTAACTCGACGTTTGCTTGCCTCACGGGAGTGGGCTTGAGGATTGGGGGAGGGGTGGAGAACGCAGCTGACAGACACCTCTTTCCAAAGCTCTCTGCACTATTTGATGGTTACAGCAATATATTCATTACTTTGGATGCACATTTTAACTGTCTATTTGATCTTACCCCTAATGAAAGGCTCCATATAATCTCAGCCAGCAACACTGTGGGATGGGGTATTTTAGTGACTCAATGACAACCTTGAGAGTCAATACAATAGCACAGTGTGAAGCATGCAAGATCAGGAGTTCAATAAACAAGAGTTCAAAGCCTGGCCTCATCGCTTCCTGGGACAAGCTAATCTCTCAATGTCTTTGTCTCCTTTTCTGTTCAGTGGAGGGATGCTTCATAGACACTACTGTGGGAAAAATCTGTGGCATAATTCATGTGAAATGCTTACTGCAGAGCCCTCAATCAGTACTAGCCATCAGGACTATCATCCTTCTGGAGGGACAGAAAACTAAGCCCCCCAAATGGACAGGAGTCACACAGCAAAACCAGCAAGTTTAAGAATTCTTTCCTAAATGGCTATTAAGTATTCTTAAGTGGCTGTCTGGAGCCTTTTAAAAAATAAGGGAACTGGGCTCCATCTGAGACAATTCTAACTTGGTATAGGAGCTCTACTATGGATTTTTTTTTCTTCTCCAAAATCATACTCAAATGATCCTAATGAGCTCGGGCTAAGAATCTATGCTATAAACTGTAGGGGGCCACCTAAGGACAAGGCAGGGATTTCTCAATAATACTCATCCATCTTCCTTAAGTTAGAATATCATGCAGGAGTTGGCATAAACTCCTATAAGAGGAAAATCTATCAGTGTTTGAGCACCACATCCCCCTTCCTTCATACGCAGGCCCCGGTTATGCCTATTCTAAATCCCAAGCAAAGATCAGCTGGCAGTCTCACTCCCTCATAAAGGAAAAACTGATGCTATTTAAGACAAATCTGCATGGACCAGTATCAATGACCCCTCTGCTCCACGGAGGATGGCAACCTTTTATCTAATGTCCCAAGTCCCAACCCTTGTCTCAGGACCCACCACACTGCATGGCACCCCTCACAGCCCTATTAAGTAGACAAAAGTGTAACCTACTTTACAGATGAGGAAAATAAGGTTCTGAGTGGATAATAACTCACCCAGGTAAGTAAGGAGGCTCTCAATTTTCAGGGACGATAAATAAACAGGAGAACCAGCAATTGGTAGCCAAGAAGTTACTTCTTGGCAATTAAGTTGATTCACAAACTCAGTAAATCTCCCCAAGATACTGTGTGCATTTGATGAAAACTGTGGTCCTAAAAAAGCATTTGCCATGATGTTGGAGCAGGTCACCGAACTCCCATGCTTCAGAGGCGGCAGTATCATCTCCTTGGGGCTCATCCACCTGGAGCTTTCTGTTGTTGCCTTACTGTTCGTTGCATCTGAACAGGAACATTCTCTATCCCCTCCTTTAGTAATGAACCTCAAAGGAATCTGCTGCCCACCCTCCATGAGGAGACCACTGATAAAGATGGTAACAAATTTAGGAGAAAGAAAACCTATCCAATATTCCAAATGCTATTAGAGAAAAAAGTTTCCTTTTCTCCATTCCAGTAAGAGACAAGTGTGACTGTATGAACTGGGAATGACACCACTGCCTGAAATTTTAAAAAGTGTAATAAATGCCCAGGCTGCAGATATTTCATAAGGAATATGTCCAAGACTACACCCCAGCGCCACATGGGAGGATTCCAGGAGCTGGTGTGACAAGCATCTTAATCCTTTTGCTTTAGCCACTCGAACCTCCCTCTCAAGCTCTGAAAGGTTCTGACAGTTATCTCCGCTTCTTCACAAATCTCTCATCTCCATCCTATCTGTCATCTGCACTTGCATAAGAGACGTACGTGCAGGCTGTTGGAGTCTAATGGATGGGTTTCCGAAACTAGGAACATGGTCCATCCCTGCATGCTGGTGTCTCTCCACATCACCACTGAACTAATGTCAACTAATCTCCGTGCCCTCACAGAAACTCCCAGTGTTTCTCTCAGATCTCAACCTGGGGGCCGCCTAAGAAGCCTATGTACATGCACACACAGGACCGTGGATTTACACGTATACATAAAAACCAAGCTATATGCCATAAAAGTATGACCTACTGTAGTTTACAAATGCGCTACAGGTAATATTTGTTTCATTCAAAAGTCAAAAGGGGGCAGGGCTTATTTCTGCATGTGGTCTTGGCCACATCTCCCTGGGGCATTTTTACACAAAGACAGCCAAACCACCTGCAGTGTTGGTTTGGCAAGCACATCTGAAAGGGCTGGGGCACAAGGCCTGCCGAGCCCCCAGTTCTGGGCTACCTTGCCAAGAAGGAAGAACAAGACTTCTAAAGGCTTCCCTCAGAACCCTCAGGTCCTGCAGAGGGACCTGCTACTGCACTGGCCCAACCTGCCCCATGGGAGGTATGGGGGGACAGGCAGGTCTGGGCAGGAAAGCCGGTGACTCAGACCCGGCAAAGCTCCAGGCAAGCTGTCACATCCTGCGGCGACCATCCTGAAACACGTGGCAGCGGAGAAGCCCAGCTGGCAGCCTGGCACTCAGGTGCCCTCGGATGACCAGAAGCCACCTCTAGGGCTTTCACTTGGGATTCCACAGTTACCCATCTGGCTGCCTACTTGGCCTGGGCCAGATACCCACCAGTCAGCTAGCCCCTGTCCACCTGATGAGCACCTGCACGTTACCTAGAAGGGCAGTGTTGCCTTACAGCCATTCCAACCGCGCTTCCCAGAGAAGGCTTACTGCAGCTAAGAATGGTTCCAAGGGCACCCTCCCCAAATCTTTTACACAGGGCGACAGGCAGAGCAGGACGCAACTGTCAGCAAATTCCGAGCACCGGGAAGCCTGTGTGCGTGTGAAACGCTGCCAACAGCGCAGTCACCAATCCACACATTTTCCCCCAAAACCAGAAGCTAAGCCTCGGTTTCCGGTGACTCCCCTGTCGCCCCCAGCACGGACGCCCCGGCCGTCGCCAGTGTGAAGGAAAGACGAGGGAGGTGGGAGATGGGAATTGAGGGAGGACAGAAATATATACGGAGGTAAAGAGAGAAGAGACAGAGGAAATATACAGAGAGAAAATGTTGTACAGTAATGGACAGACCAATATACAGCAGGGCGGGGAGAAACAGCGCCCAGGTAAAGTAGGGTGACACCGCCTGAGGAGACCCGGAGCCGCAGGAGGGGCGGAGGGGCGGAGGCGCGGGTACGGGGCGGGGCGCGCGGGCGCACGCTTTCCGCAGCCGCAGCGCTCGCAGCCCAGGCCGGGCACGCTCGCCGTTTCCGGGGCCACAGCGCCCCCGCAGTCCGGCCCAGGAGGCGCAGCCCGCCGCCGCCCAGTCCCCGCTGGCCGGGCGCGCAAGAGCGCGCAGCCCGCAGAGGGGCACCAGCACAAAGCGGCCGTACACAATGCCCCGGCCCTGCACGCTACGCACCCCGCAGCCTGGCCCCGCGCAGCTGCACTCACATCTGGGCAAGGAGGGCCGGTGGTCGATGGGCACCCATATCTTCTGCACCCGGCTCTGGGTCAGCTCCAAGGGCATCTTCGCAGCTGCACTCGGTGGCCCGCCACCCCGAGAGGAGATTCCGAAAGTGTGGGGGAAAGAGCGGCCGCCCACCCCCGGAACAAAGGAGGGGAGGGGTGCGTGCGGCGGCGGCGCGCTGCCGGGGAAACGTGCTTTGTGCTAAGTCCTGGGCGCGCGCGTGCGCGCGGGACTGGGCTCGGCGAGGGGCTTGGGGCTGCGGCTGCCCGCACGGCCGGCTCAGGGATGCTCGGGCGCAGTGACAGCCGCGCTCCCGCCGCTCAGCACTCCCTCTCGCCTCCTCTCCAGCTCTACTGAGATGCCACATACACCGCCCGGCCTTTTCAAGTGTCGGAGCTTGGCAGCGCGGCGCGTCAGCCCCAGGGCGGGCCGCATTCCTGGCGTCCCAGCCCCCTTTCACGTGGGGAGGAGGGTGGGCGAGCCGGGAGGCGGCCTGCTGGCGCCCCCTGCGGGCCGGCGACAGCAAAGCACGTCCAGCTCTGGCAGCCCAATCCCCAACTCTGTGAGAAAGCCCAGCTCCGGCTGGCTTTTTACCCCTTTTATTCTTCACTCCAGTTATCCCCTGGCCCAGCTTCCCAAGATAACCCTTCATCTGAACAGTGCTGGGAGGGCCTCAGCGATGCAGCTCTGTCCAATATGGCCTGCAGCCTCCCGAAACCCATCCCCTAGGATGCTGGTTGAAATGCATCCCTCTGATTTGGCCTTACTAGCAGCGGAGCCCCAATATTCTGCATTTCATTTACGCGCTCGGGGGCGAGTATAATGCACGTTGAGACCCAGGCCAGAGCTGCTCCCCGATTACCCGTAAGGCGCCACATACCGCGACCCCCACCAACGCGGGCTGCCCTTCCCTGTACTTTCATCTCCCTTGGGAATCGGCTTGTGCTGAGCACTGCGCCCCTCACGGGCCCCAAGTCCGGGAACTTTTGAAAGGCCTGAGTGCTGAGCAAGAGGAGGAGGTGGGAAAGCCCCAGGGGTTAGACCGAAGAGGAGCTTTCCGGACCGGGCGCAGCTGCATCTTGGGGTTCACAGTCCCCAATAAACCTTTAACTCCCTGAGTAGTCAAACAAAACTAGACCCCGTCCCCACTAGACCCCATTCTTTACCTGACAATTAGCCCCGGAGTAACTATTTAGGGGAGGCACCTTGATCATGCAAACTTTATAACCTATTTTATTTTTCCTACACACACTACAGCTTTACGTCGCCACTTTTGGGGGGTGTACATGCCCTCTCGCCTTTCCTGGTTCTCGTAGTTTGCAGTGGCTCGCAACAATCGCGACAGTTTGTATGACAGTCCTGTAGCCAAGTCACGGGCCGTGCAGTGAAAATCTGGGGCATTTTTGACGGGGACCACCGTCCGCTGAGGCACGACATGAATGTGACTTTAGCAAGGAAAGGCTCGGCACAGAAGCGCTTCACTGCCCGGCCGAGAGGCGCACTCTTCGCCCTGAGGCTGAGCTGTGATTGGTGGGAAGAAGGCGGTGCTTGCTGAAACCCACGCTATGGTGGGAAAGTCTGCGCAGAGGCTGCCACACGTCGCTCACGTCCTGCATGCTCTGCTGGGAGGGCTCCCGCTCCCTGGCGGCGGGCACAGCTGCTCCCGCCTGGCTCGCCTGGCTCGCCAGCCCCACCCAGGCCCCGCCCTCTCCAGCAGTTTGGCGCGCGCAGGGGCTCCAGAGCCCAAGAGTCGCCCACCTGGCCAGTGACCCCTCCCCCACCGGGGGATACCCCCTGCTCCAACCCTCACTACCGCCCTCCCGTCCCTCCAGCGCCGCGCCGCCCTCCCTGGAGCCCCAGCTCCCCAGACAGCTTTGCTGACGGTCTGGTTTCAGCGCTTGCTTGGGCAGCTGTTCAGAAACCCTATGCACTGTACTTGGACTTGTTTTTCTGCACTGGGAGCAAATGCCAGAGGTGACACCCTACAATGCCCAATGGAGAGTCCCAGTCCACTCTTGAAATAAGAATGGGACTGAAGAAGAACACAGCAGTCAGCGAGTGCTCGAGCCACTAGGAAGCGTTCCCAAACTGGGATTCACAGGGGTCAAGGAGGGTAGCAAGCTGTGGACAAGGAGAGCCCCCAGCAACCGTAGTGCGCTCGCCTGCTACTGAGCCACTAGAAATTTTGCGTAAACCTACAGGCCAACCCAGGGGACCAGGTGGCTTTCTATGATCTCCAAGCCTGCAGTTGTTGGTTTTCCTCTAAGGGGAGCAGGGGTGGGATCTTCACCCTAAGGTGAAGAGCTTGACCTAGCTAACCATCTGATCAGGGTCAGCTGTAAGGTCAGGAAAGTTGACTTCCCCAGCTGAGCATTCACAGATAAGGCACTTTCCCTGCCCAGTGTCAATAAGATTAACGTTGTGGGCGTCCAGAACAAAGATTAATTTCTTCCCCAGTCCCCTGCACTGGATATGTATAATTAGTCGGCAAAGAGAAGTCAACTTAACTCCTCTGCTGCTTGGAATAGCTAAGTGCAAACCAGTAGTGCTGGGGGACAAAGACGAATTCACACTTGTTTCGCTCTTTGTGTTTGTTTGTTTGCTTGCTTGCTTGCTTTTTATGGCCACCTAGAAACTCTTGTAGCCCCAGGTAAATTAGAGTTCCTATGGGAGGTAAAATTGCTTCAAAAAAAAAAAAAAAACACTTACAAACAATTGCAGCTACCTGTGTATTCTAAGTATTTACTAACTCAGAGTTTGCCAGCTTAGACATTCTCCTCTTTCCCTAGTGCTATTAATGACCCCCTATCTTCACCTCAAATGTGGCCCTCCAGGGTTTCACCAACTCCCAAGTCCCCAAACTAGACATTATAAACGAAGTCCTTCAGAAAGGCTGCCAAGTATGTGAACATTCCTTTAATGCATCACCATCACATTTGCACAGCCAGAACATCTCCAGTCACTCAGACAGAGTGACAATTTTTCTTAGATTCTGAGTCATGGTCCTAGACCCTATTAGAGCCAGATGGACAGCCCCTGATCTTACGTGAAGGCATAGAGGGAGGTCTAGAGATTAGAGAGATCAAGGAATCAGGTTCAAGATCAAGGAAGAAAACCAATTAGGTGAACAGGGTGTTTCTTTGAGATGGGGGGTGGGGGGAGGTCCCAGTACTTGACACAGACAGCAGATAGCTGTCTCTTCTCCAGGGACTCATGATAGACTCACCATAATCCAGGGTGCTGAGGGGAATCATAATTAAGGGAAGATCAGACTGTGATTCGGAAGATCTCACCCAGAACAATTACACTATTTGGAAGGAAAGCACAAAGAAAAACCTTCACTGTGAAGAGGAGTCATTAGCAGAGTGTTTACTTAAAATGATAGTCTAATATTCATGAAGAACCTATCAAGTGCCTCTTGTGCTGGTGCAGATGAATTCATTGTCTATGTTCAGCCTTGGTGAAAAGGTGAAAGAAATGGTTTTTCTCCATGACCTGTGTGCCCACTTTCTGCTGGCCAGTATCATCTGACCCTTAGTAGTGTTCCAGACATGCCTGTAATGACAGCAATAAGCAATCTCATTTCCATGGTCTTGTGCCAACTAGTTAGATTTAAACCATGCTCATCCCCAGGGAGAGAATGAGAGTGGTAACAAGCTGTGGCAGGCTGCGAGCAATCAGAAGTTGCTAATTAAACAAAAAGTGTCATTATTTGCACCTCTGAAAAATCCCATGTATGAGAGAGTGAAGGGAGACACCAAATAAACAGCAAAACCAAACCTTTTATGATCACCCATCAAAAGCCAGGCAAGAGGGTTTTTTAAAAAAAATATAATATTTGTAGCCTGGTGCTGTATGTAATCCCAGCCACTCAGAAGATTGAAGCAGAAGGATCATGACTTCCAGGCCAGGCCTGGGAAATTTAGTGAGTGAGAGCCTGTCAGAGAGAAAGAAAGAGAGAAAGAGAGAGAGGAAGAGAGAAAGAGAGAGAGAAAGAGGGAGGGAGGGAAGGAGGGAAAGACAGGAAGGAAAGAAAGACAGGAAGGAGAGAAAGAGGGAGGGATTAAAATATTTATAACTCATAGGATTTAAACAGATAAACTGTCTATACAATATCACATAGGAGGTTGAAAAACCCAAAAGCATAATGTGTGCACAGATGATTATAGCAGTTTTTATTCAAACATGGAAGTCAAAACATAGAAACAATCGATTCCCTTTGGTAGGTGAATGGCCAAGCTATGGGACTTCCAGACAATGGAATATGATTCTGTGCTAAGAACTGCGCTAAAAAGACACAAAAAGGCATACAAGAACCTTAAATGCATATTACTGAGTGAAAAACTAATTTGAAAAGATTTCAAACTGCAGGATTCCAACCACTGTCCCGGGAGTTGGGGGAGTGGAAATGGGGGAAGAGGAAGGAGATGGGAACTGATTTTACTGCCAACCTAAAACTGCTCTAAAAAATAAAGTCTATTAAAAATAAAAAGGAATGTATTATTGTTCTATAGGTGCCATTTCTTTGATCTCCAATCAAGTTGATTTAAATTTCTTCTCATTATTAGAGTTGGCCAAGGCCCAGCTTCTGAATCAACTCAAATTGTGCAACATAATTAAGTCCCTTCAAACTCTCCAGCATTTCCTTTTCCATGTTACTTTACCTCCTGTGGGCCTTTCCCCTTCTTAAGGACACTCCTGAGCCTGGGACCATGTTCTTGAACCTGCCTACAGGTATTTGATATCTGTATCACACCTTGCTTTGAAAGTCTTCATCAGCCTCCTCACCCTATATCAAACTGTAGAGTGTTTGTGTTAACATGTATTGTATTGTGACTTCAAAGTGTTCACGTATTTTAAAGATCAAATACAGTGCACCTTCAAGTTACAACCAGCCTGACATATGAACAACTTGGGTTATGACTAGAATTTTAGTTTTAAACTTACAACTCAAATGCTGGCCACTTGTGGTTCCAAATGGTCTCAGATACAGATTTAATACTTAAAGAGCTCTGGAAGGAACATTACAACATCCTTTCTAATGTGGAGTTAATTGAAAAACCCTGGGCCAATGTCTCTCTAAGGACCCTGATAGTTTCCTGTATACAGGACAGAGACTTTGAAGGATATGTAGAGAAGTCTGAGCCTACATTTGACCAACCTGAGTTACAACCAGCCATCAGGAACAAATTGAGTTCATAAGTCCAGAGTCCACTGTATACTATAATCTAGTTCACAGTATTATACCAATGTCAGTCTACTGGCTTTGATATTTTATGACAGTTACATAAGATGTTACCATGGAGGAAGCTGGGTGAAATGTTCAAGGAACTCTATGTACTATTTTGCAACTTCTCATGAGGCTACAGTTATTTCAAAACCAAAAGTTAAT